ACTTAAGAGAGATATTTTGAAATTAAAGAAACAACTAACAATATAAGAATTATAATAGCCTTAAGTTAATTTGCAGAACAAAACAACTTCAAAATTTGTGTACTTTTTGTAAAAAGTTAAAATGTTATACAACAAAAAAAGGTTATTTTCATTAATAAGAGACCTAAAAATTTTCTCATATTAAATACCAAGTTCTAAATATAAATTAACAAAATACATTTCAGAGTTTTTTTTACAAATCAAAGACTTTGATCGACTACATCTTTATTATTTTTAATTTAAAAACAAAATATATACATACATATTTACATATACTTATATATTTGTATACAATTTTTATTCCTAATTTCTTCTCATTCAAATTCTCCTCCTCTAATTTGTAATTAATTTATAAAAGTTAATTGAAAAATTACTCATTGTAAAACCATTTTTCTTTTGTTAAATTTACATATTTATGTTATATGCATGTTTCTTTTATACAAACTGTTATATAAACTTTAACCATAACGAAATCTATAAACATGACAAATTAAAAAGGATGTTTTATGTATAAGTTTAATAATGTTTATCTACAAACATACATTTAATCCTCTTTAAGGATTTTTCTTTCAATCAATTTTCTTTTTGATGATAAAGAAACAAAAAAAAGAACAAAAATTTCGCACACTAAATTATTAGAAATAAAATGAGTGGAAAGTTAAAAGTAAACCAATTTAATTTTTCTCCTCACAATTTTACTCTATACTCGTAATTTCACGTCCTCTTTTTTTTTGTTTTTAAAACATAAAAAGCTTAACCGTTTTGTTGTTGTTTTAAAGTTATGAAGCCCCAACACATTCAAATATAATCTGATGTATAATATTTGAGTCACTAGGGATGTTTTTAAGAAATTTATGCACATTCTGTATTCGAATAAAACCAATATGTATAGTGAGTAGTTGCTAAATGCAGCGCAAATATTATTTCAGGAATGAAGTAAAACCGAACGAATATGAGATAAGGCATGTCATTACCTATAAGGGTTAAAATAATCTTTTATGTGTAGCCGTTGGGTAAATAATATAAATAAAGTTGGGTCAAACCAATGATTTTTATCGTAACAAGTGAAAATACTGCTTTTAAAAATAATCTATTTATATCTACCAACACTATTAAAATTATTTTCATTCATATACGAAACTATTTCTTGCATATATTTAGGATGAACGATTCACGCAGTCTTTGAAATAAAGGAAAAATTCATTTAAATAGGGGTTAACATAATATTCGATTTTAAGGATTAATTGTAAGAGTTAAGAAAAAAAATTATATTTTTTAGTGACATGGATTTTACCGTTAGCTTTCTGCATTTATAGAAATTTGATAAAGCTTGCGGTTTCGAAAATATTAATTCCGAAAATTTCAAAAATTCAAATTTTACAAATTTCAAGGAACGATAACTTGAGAGAGGGTGGAGATGGAAAAAAATTTTTTTCTAACGAAATGAACTATTTATTAGTGTCTAAAAGCTGCTAATTTTAGACTTTTACAACCTGGGGTCTAGAAGAAAAACGACATAAAAATTAAGAAAAAACAGATTTTAGATAACGGTAAATTTTAACGGGCATTTTGTTTTTCTAAAGTTAAACTATAGTATGCCGCGATAAAAGAAGCAATTTGCTTTTGCAAAAAACTGCGGGGGGGGGGGGCGTGGGGGAGGGGAAGGTATAACTTCTAAAGGGGTCGAGACGGGTAGAAATTTTCTTCTACAGAAATAAGTTTCTAGTAAAGAAACTTTCTAGTTAGTTCAGTTTTCGCTCTTCATGGGTGTAGAAGTTCTGTAAACAGACACACAGACGGACGGACGGACGAACAGAATGAAGCTAATAAGCATTTTCTTCCAAAAATTTTTTAATATGAATACGAATTTAAAATTGGGTTGGGAGTGGACTTCATATTTTTCTTGTCAGTTAGTTCTATACCTATATATGTTTGTAGTTTTTTTGCATTTATACCAAATTATATATTCATATAATATATTGAAATATATGCTTCCTTACTTATATAATAAAGATATACATATATATTGTCCAATCCATTTAGTTACAAAGTTAACCAACTACCGTCACCTATGTAAGCTATTTCATCCTTCTGATTATATTCCACTAACCCCATATACATATATATGTATTTATATAAACATATGTATATAACTCCCATCTATGGTTACAAAATTAAATTAATTTTAATTCTTTTACAAATTTTTTCTTTTGTCTTGTTTTTCTCTATGTTTTTTTGTTTCTTTTTTATTATTTCCTTTTGTTTACCAAAATTGGTGTAAATTAATTTAATTAAAGAGATAATAACAATTTATTATGTGCCCCTTTTTATATATGTATGTAGTATATATATAAGTCTATTATTTATATTTAACAATATATTTATAAAGCAAAAGAAATATAAATATAAAAATAACAAAAAACTTCACACACACATACCCCATATACCGCTATATAGAAATATTATTGTAGTCGTATACATATGTGTGTTTAAATAAAAAATTTCAAACCACCCAGTTTTACTTAAGTTTAAGTGTGTTTTGTACAATCATATGTATTAATATATATATACATGGTGTTGAAGTGGTAGGACGTATTTCAATTTTATTTTATTTTCTATTGTTATGATTTTTGTATTGTTTTGATGGGCTTTTCTGATGCTTGGGCCACACCTTTTATTTTAACAATATATAAATAAGAAATTTTTAAATTGTTAATTTGTGTATATGTGTGTTAAATAATACATACATTTTCAGATATACATAGTTATAAAACAAATTTATTAACTATCTGGATATATAAAATTTGTACAAGTTACGATGAAATATGAGTAAAAGTTGACATTTAAAATATCATGCATGAAACACATTGAAAAACCTGTCTGATAGGAGGACAAGAACGGAAGTTTGAAGTTGACCTTTCTTTTCTTCTTTCTTAATTTATTTTATAATCAAATAAATATTTTTTGTCAGATGAATTGTTGAGTCCAGGTTAAGTCAAAATTGTCATATTATGTTAAATTAAATTTTATAAATATAAAGTGTTATTCTTCAACTATCATTTAGATTTATGAGAAGCTATATACAAGAAACTGTGTATAATAGAGATAAGGGTGTATATATTTGTAAGAGAAATCCGAGTTATTTGGTTAATTATTAAGAAAAAGTAAGCGAGTAACAATTAATGAATTAGAAATAAGTAATAGAAATCAATAATCCGAATTAGACACAAAAATTGCATATTTAGAGGGGCTGCAATCAATGATGGGAAAGATATAGGGATTGACTAAAAATATACTGCACTATGAATTAAAAAAAATTATTTAAATACTAATTTATACATATGTATATATATATATAAATATAAATACCTCCTTTTTCATTATATCATTTGTCCATTTTGTAATATCATCACTTGAATTATCAACTTCAATTGTTGGTGATTCTGACGCTGTTGAAGATGTCGTTGTTGTTATCGATGGTGAAGATGATGGTATCATTATATATTTATTATTGTTAGTAATTAATTTATCATTATTATTTACAATAAATGATGTTATACTATTATTATTATTATTATTGTTACTATTATTGTTGTTATTAACTAAATTTTCTGTATAATTAATATTATTTTCATTATGATTATTACTACTATTACTATTATTATTATTTAAATTAATATTATAATTATTAATTGGTAACGATGATGTTTTCGATGTCAGCATTGATGATGTTATTATTGATGATGTTGATGAAGTTGTCGTCGCTGATATTTTCAATAAATTACTGTTACTATTATTATTATTTAATATAGATGTTGTTGACACAACGGTATTTGTATCAGGTATTGAAGTTGTAATTGTTGGTGGTACTGCTGCTGTTGTTGTTGATGATATTGTGTCTATTCCTCGATGATTATTTGTAGTTATTTTTAAAATATTATTTGTTGATGTCTCATTTTGAATTGAATTTGTTGGTGTTGTTGTTGCTATTGTTGATGAATTTGTTGTTATTTTAAAATGTAATGGACTTATATTATTAGTATTACGTTTACGTAATTTACTTGTTGTTATATTATCATTATTAATTAATGATGATGTTGTATTTAAGGATGATGATGGTGGTGATGATATTATATCATGTTGATATAATGAATATTTATTATTATTATTATTATTATTATTATTATAATTTTCGTTATTATCATTATTATTATTATTATTATTGTTATTATTATTATTATTATTTTTATTATTGTTATTAATAATAATATTATTAGTGTTATTCAATAATAATGTTGTACATAAAAATGGTTTATTCTCATCTTCAGTTGTTTCAATATCAACCATTTCATCATCTGATGATAATGATTCTTTAATATTATATGGTGATATTAATGAATCTCGAATTATATTTGTTTTAATATTATTGTTATTATCGTTATTATTATTTGTTTTATTAATTTTATTATTATTATTATTATTGTTATTATTGCTATTATTATAATTATCATTATTATTATTGTTATTATCATTTCGATTATTTACAAAATAATTATTAAAATTTTTATTTCGATCATTATTAATATTACTACCAGCATTATTATTTTTATTACTATAATTTGATATAATATTGTTGTTATCGCAATCATCATCATTGTTTGATATTGAATTATCGTTTGAATTATAATGAAAAGATTGATTATTATCTGTATTATCAATTACATTTATAATACTCTTATGATAATTGCTATTACTATAACTATTAATAATGTTATTATTTTTGTTACTATTGCTTTGATTATTATTTTTATTAATACTGTTTATTTTATCATCATCACTGCTATTGCTATTGCTATTATTATTATTATTATTATTATTATTATTATTATTATTATTATTATTATTATTATTATTATTATTATTATTATTGTTACTACTATTACTGTTATTATTAACAGTTTTTAAGGCTAAAATTTTACCATCAAAAGTATTTGGTATATGATTATTATTATTATTAGTATTTTTATTATTTGGATTTAATACTGTATTAAAATTATCTAATGATGAATTTAAAATATCAATATTATTATTAATACTATTACAGGTATTATTTGTAATTGAATTAAATGATGCAGCTGCTGCAATTGCTAGTACATCAGCTGACGATAGTGATTTTTTATAATGATTTATTGAATTTTGAACTGGTTTAAAGGCTGATTTTTTATAAAAATTTGATATTAAATCGCTATTAATGCTATTATTATTATATTTTTGTAAATTAGTTACAATAGTATCATTTATTTTTGCAATATTACCATTATTATTATTATTGTTATTTATATTATTACTATTATTGTTACTGTTGCAATTTATTTGAGTCGAATTTGAACGTAATTTTTCATCATTAAAATTTGTTTCACTTAAATTTAATAAATCCCTTTCACTATTTGCATTGCTATTAAAAAGTGATCCTATACAAAAAAAATATATTTAGTTAATAAATTATGTAATTAATATTTAAAATTTTTAAATAATATATTAAGTTCTCGAGGTATATTATAGCAAATTGATAGTACAAAAGGGGGTTTGGATACCAGGAGGGCCCAAATATTGTGATACTTGGGAATGGTACAACATGTAGACGATATGTATATAACAAATATGTGTAATATATATTGTACATATGTATATTATATAATGGGGGATATGGGAGTAAGGAGCAAAATAAGGTTACTGCCTTCCGCATGTAGGATCAGGAGGCCTTCGCTTTTCAAACAATATCCCAGTAACGTATTTTGATCCGCACAGTAATCGCGAAATCCTACTCCGTATATTTAATATCACAGCACTATCTTTAAAAATTCTAAAAAAACACACATGAGAAAAAAACGAACTAACCTGGTCTTTTGATCCACGGTAATGAATAATTAGAAAATTGAAATTTGTTTTGTGCATGCCACATATAATCCATAACAAAATTTCTCGAAAATGGTATTGCAATATCATTAGGTAATGTCATATGATTGTGAGTGTTACCAGTAATTCCACTTGCATTATTTAAATTTGTATTTGAACTACCAATTGTTGGTGGTGTATTTAGATTTGATGAGGTTAAAGAATTATTTCCGGTACCAGAAATTAAATCAACATTCCCAATTATTGATGGTATTGTAGATGGCTCAATATGTGTCGAATGATGGTGTAAATGATTTTGTTGATGGTGATGATGTGGAGTTGAATGTAAATTATTGTTATTGCTATTATTATTGTTATTATTATTATTATTATTATTATTGTTATTATTATTATTGCTATTGCTATCATTAGTTGAATGATGTTGTTGATTATGATGACTACTGTGTAAGTGGAGATGACGAGATTGTTGAATTGATTCAAATTGTGAATTGTGATGATGATGATTATTATTATTACTATTATTATTTGTTAATTGATGATGATGATGGTGATGATGATGCAATGGATGATGTACTATTGGAATAATATTTGAGGATATTGCATCATTATTATAATCACGAAGACGTTTAGATGAGCTTGATGAATCAATTAATGATGTGTTAGCGTTATTATTATTATTATTGCTATTATTGTTGTTATCATTATCATTATTACTATTACTTTTCATTGATATTGTTTGACCACTTTGTGATATTGATGATGATGGTGTTGATGACCCAGCCGATATAATACGTAGTGGATTATTTGATTGCAATAACGGATGATTGTTGTGTAAATGATTTTGTTGTTGTTGTTGCTGATGTTGATGCGAATTATGTGAATGATGATGATGATGAAGTAAATTATTGTGATGATGTGAATGATGATGCGGATGATGGTGGTGTAAATGTGAGCTATGATTATTATTATTACTGTTATTATTATTACTATTATGATTTGTTGATGATGAAGATGATGATGATGATATTATTGATGATGATGTTATTGATGATGATTCATTTGATATTAAACGTTTTCTTGTACCACCATTAAACATTGCTTTAACATCTTCCCATGCATGTATTATTTCTTCAGCTGGATTACCACTTAATTTCATATGACGACGCCATGAGTTAAAATTTGCTGCATCCGGTTGTATATATTTGTCAGTTGGACCAATACGATGTGAATGAAATATAAATTTATTTGGTGAAAAGAATAAACCGCAATAACTACACTTTATACATTTAGCTCTAGATGAATTATATCTAGATGGTAAAAATGAACCTCGGCAACCCCATGCACATTCATGATGTACATTAAATGCAAAATCATCTGGTAATCTTGGCGGTGAATTATCACCTAAAAATGATTTACATAAACGTTCTGCCTCACGTCTTGTTATCATACCGCAACGTCTTGAACTAACTGGCATAGCACCAGCTCTTCGTAATATTTCTAATTGAACTGGTGTACATTGAACACATGTTATACCTAATGCAACACGACGATTATGTATTTCATTATAACTAAATTGTTTTAATAATGTATTTGATATTTGAGCTAAACATAAACGTTCTTGTGATTCAATGTATAATGATACAATTGGTATACCATATAATAGGACAGTACTAACCTGTAAATAATAAAAATATTTAATTTATATATATATTAGTTTATTTTTATTCGTTTGTCTGGCAATCCTAAAAATCGCCTAATATTACTATTTAATTTTTTTTTCGTTATTTCATTCCTGATTTGTTAAGCACTTTAAATGAATTGCACCCATGGGATAGTATTTATAAAAAATAGAAAAGAACAAAAAAAATACTTGAAAACAAAAGTTTTAATAAAAAAAAAACAAAAAATGATTGCAAAATGGCCACGGGAATAAGATTTGTCTTATTTTCTAGCTTCTTTTTAAAACTTTCTATTTGTAAAATCTTAAGTATGAAAAGTTTTTTTATTCACGCACACATATGTGTACATAAAAGTAGAAACAAGGCTAAATAGAAAACAAAATTTAGTAAAAAATACGTGAGAACATTAACAAAAACAAAAAAATAAAATTAGAAACGTTAACAATTCAATTTGATTTTTTGAGCCATTAATCAAAGAGGGTACTGATTGCTCTTGTTTATAAAGGCAGTGCACACGTACAAGTATTGGAAAAAAAACAGGCAAAGAAAAACATTTGCTTTTTTATAATTGTAATTGCGTGTGATAAGAAATATTGCATATTTGATACAATGTACCTGAGTTCAATGTGCCCAAATCATTACCACAAAAAATTAAGATTTCTAATAATAAATTATTATTTATTTGTTACACACATCCACACACATACTCAAATAGTATATAGAAATATACAATATTTTAATACCTATAGTCTCGTTACATATGGACTAACAAGAAATAAATGGGACAGTAGATGGAGGGGGAAATTAGAAGACTAATAATTTACCTTTATCGAGTGGAGCTCATCAAAAAGCCTTATAGGGAATATTGTAATCGACGGTGCATGTCCCAAGTTATTACCAGTGAAGGCATATTGTGTTGTTTTTCGCTGAATTTTATTTGAATTTATGTGTATTATGTGTAAAACCGACTTGCAACTGACAACTTTCGCACATACAATTAGAGAGTGCATAAGTTTTTTGGTTGACACTATGCATCTAAATTAGATCATTCGGTAGCAGATCTTATTTGGAACAAAATATTATTCTCATACTATATTACTAACGTGTTTCATATTTTGGTAGTTATATTTAATCGTTTATTCAACACAGAATAACAGAAGCATTTAGCTTTTCAATATGGCCAGCTTTTTTTATTCACGAGTACATTTTAAATACATATGAAATTACAATTTCTTTTAGGCATCATAGAAATTAAGTAGGAATTTTTGAATTACATCTTAATAATTTTATTTATATGCTTAATATGTAGAATATTTTGAGAAAAATATAAAACTTACTTGATTTGGTTTCGGTGATCCAATTGTATGTGATGATTGACTTGGATTAAATTCTGCTGGTGTCAAAGAAGATGATTTCGGTGATATTAATGATAATTTTTCTTTTGTTTTATTTGATGTAATTAATAAAGATGTTGAATTCTCATTAGTTGTAGTAAAAATATTATTAATATTATTATTTGTTGTAATTTGAGACGATGATGCATTATTTGTATCAGTTGAATTTGAAGAAGCAGCAGGTACTGCAACTGATGTAGCATTTGTTGCCGCCGATTGTTGCATTTTATTTGAATTAATAACACGTTTTAATAAATGATGTTGATGTTGTGATGCGGCAACTGCTGCTGCAGCAGCTGCTGCTGCTGCTACTACCGATGCAGTTTGTAATGTTGCTGTTGATCCTGATGATGATGATGTTGACAATTTAGCTATTTCCATATTGTTCATTTTAAACTAAAAAGGAAATTCGATTTTTGTTTGTTGGGTTTCCTTTTTTATTGAAAATGTAACCAAATTTTTGATTTAAATTTCTGCAATTAAAAATACATAAGTTTATTATTAATTGAAAATTTTTATATATACTATGTAGTATTTGTGTATGTATAGATATACACGGTGATTCAGTAAAAATTACAATATTATATATCCCTTATTAGGACATCAAAAATAGGTAAAATTTTTGTTTTGAATTAGTTTTCAAATCTCAACGGCTCCCGAAATACACGAATTTAAACGAATGTTCACAAAATTTCTAAACAATAATATATAATATTGGGCTATTTATTGAATCACCCTGTATACAGGGTATGTCGTTACAAAAGCATACTGCTACATACCAGTGTATAGACCCTCATGAGTAGACTAAACTTTTGTATGGAGACGATGTTCACAGCTCAATAGGTCGACTAACTTTTTTACTTTTGAAATTTTTAGTAAAACTTCGTGCCTGTAAAACAGGCACATTGTCAAATATGATTTGGAAACTTTAGAATAAGGGGTTTTTGATAAACGAATTAATGATATTATCCGGGCCATTCATTATTGTAAATGTGAGGAAAATTTTTTTTATAAGTTCGACATTTGCATAAAAAAGGGAGACACCATTTTGAACTGTTGTTCTACATTCTTCTAAGTCATTGAAGAAAAAAGTTTTGGTATAAAATAGCATTTCCAGTACACTATTTTTCTCAATACACTAAACCAGAAAGATGGCTAATCACTAATTTTTAGAAAGATGACTCATATACCAATTTAGAGGTTAAAAGCACCAATGTTATGTGTCACTTGGGAAATTAACGTTTTTTAAAAATGAAAAGTTAAAATTTCAAATTTTTTGTACTTTAAAATCATGTGATTTCAAAATCTTAACAGATTAGAACTAATGTAGATATTAATAAGAAAGCCCTTACTCTGAGGCTTCCAAATCATATTTGTTAATGTGCTTGTCTTCCATAGAGTTATACTTAAAATTTCAAAAAGTAAAAAAATCAGTTGAAATTCACTTTACGCCCCTGTAACTCCAAACCTGTTGAGCTGCGAACATCGTCTCCAAAGAAAAATTTTGTCTACTCATGAGGGTTTATACAATGGTATATAGCATTGCACTTTGTTATGAGACACCCTGTATATGTATATAGATTGAAATTATTTAATTTAAAATTTTAACAACTAAAATTTTAGTTAAGTTATGCGTGTTTTGTGTTAGCAGGGATTTAAAAATTGAAACTATATTTAGGCAACGTTAAACCCGTATGCGTAAATACCTTTAAAATCTTTGTATAAGAGTCGTTAACTTTTTTATATTTTTGGAAGATTGAATTATATTTGAAAATTAATTTCTCACATATAAATATAAAAATATTCAAGAATATACGTACATACATCTAAATATATGTGTGTATATAAAAGAGCAAGTGAATTTACAAAAATTTAATGGATGTAATTTAAGAATAAAGAAAAAAACATTTTTAAACATTTTTAAAAACGTGATTTTGTTGCTTAATGGGAAAAAATCTTCCAAGTTCAACAGTCAACGGAGCATTAAATCGAAAAAAGTATAAAAATACTGAACACAAAAAAAAACAATATAAACCTAAAATAAGTTAATCTGAGCAAAAATACTGCAATAAAAAAAGGAAGCAAATAATTCAAACGGATGCTTTTCCATTCATTCAGTCGTATTTTATCCCTCTATATATAGAGTACAATGCGTTTCTCTCTATATCTAATGCATAATACAAATCTGCTTATTCAGGTATGAAAATTCTTTTATATACCGAGATGAAAAAAAAATTAAATTTTATTTTTTTTTATCGTTTTTCGCGTTTTTTTTTTAATTCAAATATAAATGCTGCCCTTCATTTATTTTCATTGAAAAGCCGCAAACAAAAATAATTTCCAATTTATTGAAGTTTTTAATTAGATATTATTTTAAGTTATTTTATAATTGTACCTACATATATTATAAGACTACAGTGTTTTATTAAATTTTCAAAATATTTCATTTAAGAACGCTTCATCTTTCTTATGTAGTTTGTAGCTAGAAAAGGTCTATATCTAAATATAATCAATAAAATGTAAAATTATTTACTTAACTGTTTCAAAAAATAATTATCAATTATAACTATTCTAAACAATAGTGTAAAAATTTGTTGCAGTGAGAAAAAAAATTTTGTGAAGTTCCCAGCTAATTGAATACACAAGATTGAGTATTGACATTGTGAACAAGAATTTTCATAAGGTCCAAACATCGAGTGAACAAGTCTTCTAAAACTGTTTTTTTTCTTCTCATTATAACTGAACTTCTCATATTAAATTAGAAAAGAGTAGAGAAATATTTTGTTTATTAAAAATTAAACTTGTAACATCATTGTGTTTACTTAAAATGCGTAATTTTGATAAAATAAAAGTGGTTTGAAGCTTTTTTTAAACTACCGAAAACAAATATTTAAAGAAAACATATAAACTTTACTGAAAAATTGAAAATTGTAATATCTTTGGAATAAGTCGTGGAAATTCCTGATATTGCAGCTCTTGAAGCGTTACATAAAACTGTATACATTATGAGCTGCAGACAACGTCATTTCGTTAATGTTATTAATGAATATCAAGTAAGTACCATATTAATTTTTTTAATGTTTGAGCACTTAAATTAAAGCTTAAGCAGCTGGGCAAAATTCTATAATTTTTTTATGGTTTCATAAAATTTCTTACGAAATTATCTAGTTAAAAAAACTAAAAAAAAAACAAGAGAAAAATTTAATTTTCCCTAAAGTTCGAATGCTTGTTATTCCGAGGGTACATAAAATGCAGAATCAAGCAACATCTTCATTTTAACCCCTTTACTAGGCCTTTCAGAAACAATTTTTTTTTATGTTCCTACCCTTTTCAGAACGAATGTAATCAAAAAACTTGGATAAGTAAAAATTTCGTGAAAATTCGTTGAAATCCCTGAAACTCGGAAACCCTTGAGATTTGGCACCACGTCCGGAACAAAAATTTTACCCATTTTCGATCCACTAACCAATGGTATATGTTGTTGTATTCCTTTTTGAATCACCCTCTATACACTTGTTTTGTCTTATTATTTTAATTTTCTAATTATTATAGAACATTTTTTGAGTGTATGAAATATTTTCTACTTCTTTCAAAAAATAAATCTTTATTTTATTATTTTGATATCTAGTTATTTACCGCATAGCTTCATTAAAATAGTAAGTTCGTTTGTTTTTTTTATTCGTACATAACTGAATTTTTTTTTAATATACCACTTGACAATCTGTATAAGATTTATGAATATTTCAAAAAGGATTTTATTATACAAACTATCCGTTTAGTTTATTATTCATTAAAATACATATAACTTGAATAAAGGATAAAATGATATTATAATAATTACTACTTCTACTTCAGAAATTTTGAGAAATCTTAAGAGATATTTACAATTTTTTCATAACGTTAATTATTCTTCATTAATGTGGAAAAAAATTATATGTAATCTTAAAAAAAAAAACTTATTGGCGAAAAATTTTTAAAACTAAATAAAAGATAAAAGTAAAAGTTCTAAACAATTATTCCGGTAGATACGGCTTTGATATTTTCTCAACTAAAAATTAAATTGGCAAGGATGCCTTTCTGAATTTTCATTCAAACTAAGATATAAAAACCCTTTTCTCAGCTCTCATATATTAGAGCCTGGCAAAAAATTCGTACGTTCAACATATTTTGGGGAATTTAAATAAAGAACAATTTAAAATGAGGAGGCGGGAGTGTAAATTTAAGTAAATATATCGGACATAGTAAATATATCGAGTAAATTGATCAGACATAAAATTTTCTAGAATTAAAGTACAAGTTCATATATATATTGTTCTCTTAAAATTTTGCATGCATTTAGGGGATTAGTTCATACAATAAAATAATTTTGCATAAATTTGGGGGATATGTCATTTTTTTTTCTCCTTTATTCACTCCTAGAAGGGGGCATAGTGCATGCGCCATAGATATTTTAACTAGGTAGGTGACTAGTCTGTCGTAGTTTTTTCCTTATATTAAATATTTTTGAGGTTATTGGTATTTATTGTTTATTTTTCATAGCTTTTAATATCGAACATTGTGAATATACGAAAATTACTTGTATACTAATTTATTATTTTTTAGTATTGAATATAATTTTTATAATGACCTGACCGAGGTTTGAAACCCGAGACTATTCGGTTAAAGGACCGATGTCATAACCACTGCAGCACCAATGATCAGGTATATGTATGTCATATACATATCTAATGTATATTGCATATTCTCTATCATGACAATGAAATTATAATAACAATCCTTATGATGGTAAATTCTTTATCCTTTAAACTTTAACAAAATTTCAATATTATCATTTCAAGGACGAATTCACTAATTTTTATTAACAATTTTAATTTGTTACTATATCGTCTTTTTTTTTATTCCTGCTCTTACACCAACAAAAAAAAAGTTCTTTAAGTACAAAAGAAAAAAATACATATTTACAAATATATTTCTGGATATGCGTATATAATACACATACATATATACAAATAAAATAATCGTTATTATATACAAAATTGATTTGAAAAATCCCTTTGCATATTTATTTTAAAGAGCATAAAAAAAACAAGCAACTTTATAATGTATTTATTATTTATATTAATTTATACAGTCTAAAAAAAATAATTAAGGTTGCCAATTCATATAGTGATTTCAATTTATAACAACTCAAATTGGCATCTTCAGTTTAAAATTTAAAAAAAAAAACGATGCAAAATCATAATTGATCCCATGAAAACACAGGGTTTTCTAAATCGGGATCATACACATTATACACCAAGTATTTTTGGGACATTAGGGTCATCTTGAATTCTATGGATTCAATTT